TCATTTATCATCTAATTAATGTGACGGTTAACCACACACGCTCCACTAACGACCAATAAGGTGCAATGTGCAATTTCATGGATTAGCATCAAATTCACATTTTTTCTAAAGTAACCAAGAGTGGGATTTAGAAAATAGTTTAGTTACTTTATATCATTATACTTTTAATGAGATTATGTCCTATCAAACTCGTTCGGCTAACGACCCTCCACCATACAAGAGAGCGGTGGGTAAGAATGGATACCCAATGACGGTCATTTTATAGGCCGATTCCTTAAACTCCTCTTATATAGTATGGCTTTGTGAATGAGGCGTACTAGCAGTTTGAATGACTTTTCTTATACTAATAATATAGTTTAAACTTTTAATTATATACATAGTATAAGGTGTATTTTAAACATCTTAAAATACTAGGGTTTAATCTTTTAATAAATTAAACTTTTAATTTAATTAAATTTAAACCAATTTATGGATTTATTAATTATATTTTAATTAACCACTTATTTAAATTAATAAATAAATCCATAATGATGTAGTTTAAACTTTTAAAAATACTAAGGTTTTAAATAATCTTTTAAATTTCGAAAATTAAAACATTTTAATTTATATTTAAAAGAAATTGATTTAATAATTATCTATTAATTAAACCTATAATTAATTTATTAAATCAAATAAAGATTAGCCAATTAAATTAATCAATTAATTTAACCTAATCCACTCCCCCAATTTCGAAATTATGGGAGGGATCTTACAAAATCTTGCAATTATCTTAATAAACAAGTAAGAAGATAATTACAAAAAATAAGAAATATGAAATCCCACCAAAACCCTAATTTCCAAAATTTAGCAAATCTTGGGGAGGAAGGCAAGGATTTCAAATCCTTGCCATATTTCGAAATCCTTGAGGGTAAAGGAACCCTTAATTCGAAATTTAAGGGACAAGGGAAAGGATTAGAATCCTTTCCATAAATTTCGAAATCTAGGGTTCAAGAACCCTAGAATTGAAAATCCTATGTCCCGAAAAGGGTTTAATTTCCATAAATCCTAATTTGATCAAGTTCAACTAATTGTATCAAATTCAATAGAAAACAAATCTTAAGCTATGATACCACTAATGAGTTTTGAGCAAAACAAACAATCATATGTGTGCATGCAACCCTAATTGTCGCGATCTATTTTTTCTCTAATTGAACATACAAGTATCTGAACATCAATTGGGAAACCCTAGGAAGCCTATATTATTTTCGAAAATAACATATATGGTTAGTAAACATACCTTTGATTGTTATGTAGTAATAACAATCTTAATCCAAGCTTAAAAACCTTTGGTAGCAAGCGCCACAAGTATCGTGCGTTAATGGCTCACAAACAAACCCTAGCAACCGAGGAAAACTATATATATATATATATATATATATATATATATATATATATATATAGAGAGAGAGAGAGAGAGAGATAGGGGGGAAGGAACCAAGATTTCGTGCAAGGCACTTAGAAAGAAGGCATGGATGAAATTCAACCCTAAGGAGAGTTTATATAGGTGTTAGAAAGGTATTGGATAAGACAGATATCTCTAAGATATCCCTAATCCCTTCACTTCCTCCCTAATTCATCCAAGGCACCCTTAGAGCCCAAGGAAACCCTAGAGACACTCTAGATTTCGTTCCCCCCTCTTTAGGAAGGTTCTATAATTGCCCAATGCTCAACTATTGAACATTGTCACCTTTAGTCTAGGGATGAGATTTAGAACCGGAAAATCGGACCGGAACCGGAACCGTTAGAACCGGAATATATAGAATCGGTTCCGGTTCCGGGTTTAAAAATTAGATTTATCCGGGTTCCGGGTAATCCGGGTTTGGGTCCATCGGGTCCGGGTAAACCGGGTCTAAAAACCGGAACCGAAACCACTTTTACGGCCGGAACCGGTTTTTGTGAAACGTTTAAAAGGTGCATATCTCATTCGTTTCAACTCCGATTAACATGCGGTTTTTTTCAACGTGTAGTGTAGAGTTTGTACATGTTTTTAGACTATAAATTTGCCATTTTTATTTTTATATTCATTGACTTACAGTCCCTTAAAGTCAAAATATCAAAGCTGAAAGTTTTTAGTTTTTCAGTTTTTTTGTATTCTGTGAAAGTTTTATAACATGCATATCTAATTCGTTTGAAGTCGGATTGACATGTGGTTTTTTCTAACTTGTATTTTACAGTTTGTACACGAGTTTAGACTATAATTTTATCATTTTTGGTTTAATATTCAATGATTTACAGTCCCCCGAAGTCGGGATATCAAAACTGAAAATTTTCAACTTTTCATCTATTTGTTTTTGTACTTTGTATTCTGTGAAAATGTTAATACATGTATATCTCATTCGTTTAAAGTCGGTTTGACATGCGGTTTTTTCCAGATTGTAGTTTAGAGTTTGTACATGATTTTAGACTATAATTTTGTCAATTTTGGTTTCATATTCAATGAGTTACAGTCCCCCAAAGTCGGGATATCAATATGAAAATTTTCAAAGTTCAACCCAGTAAGTAGTAAGTAATTACCAAAAAATTCCGGGTTTTCCGGTTCTAAACCCACTTTATCCGGTTCCTACATACCCACTTTGATGTTTCCGGGTTTTCCGGTTCTAAACTCACTTTACCCGGAACCGAACCGGAACCGGTTCCTATATACCGGTCCGGTTTCCGGTTCTACAAAATCCCGTTAACCGGTTCCGGGTTTTCCGGGTCCTGGTCCATCCGGTCCGGGTTTGGACCCACTTTCATCCCTACTTTAGTCCCTGCACTTTTAATTAATTCTTTTAATCCCAAAATTAATTCCAAATTATTTTCTATTTAAATATTAATAAAATAATATGATTTCTAATTAATATATTATTTTCATAATATATTAATAAATCATTTATTTCAATTTATTAATCAAATAATAAATTCATCATTCTCTCTCTTAAAGTTATCATATTCAATTGCTAGGTTTGAATGCAACTCAAAAGGACTGAAAAGCTAGTTGTTAGCTTATAAACTAGCTGATAAAAATGATGATTGGTAAAACTAATTGATAAGCGAGTTGAAATATATAAAATGACATTAAAATACATTTAAAAGTATATATTTCTATAACTAGTTATGGGTATATTTGATGATTTTTAAAAAAGCTATTAAATTTATTTAAAAAAACTTCATCATTTATTAATATGTATAAAAAAAATATTGTACGAATTGAGAATCTTAATCGATGCACTTGATATTAAGTTTTGGATGATTTTTAACTTTTGATAATTATAGTTTAGAAAAATTAATTTGTCTTAACTATATTCCAATTTTAATTTATATCCATATGCTCTATTATGTAGTTTTACTTATTTTAAATATTTTCATCTACTTATGTCGAACACCCTTATAAAAATAAAAGATACTAATTGATGTTTTTTTTTTTTTTTTTTGCCAAAAACGAGTCCAAACCATTTATATCCTTTATATGAGAGCATCTCCAATGGTAGTTTTTGATAGCTTATTACTATTTGTTTAAGTGGTCAAAATAAGTAAACATCATTGGAATGTATGACTTACTTGCTTATTTTTATTGACAACTCTATATATATATCTATATATATATATATATATATATATATATATATATATATATATATATATATATATCTATATATATATATATATATATATTGAGTGGTCAATATAGTTTAAAGGTTTGAACAACCAACACCTTTCTCTTTAAAACTATTACATTTTCTACCTTTGATTTACTTTGATTTATTTATTATTTATCTAAAATTTATAGATAAACAAATATACAATATATAAATATAAATTATAGTAATATGTAAATCGTTTGTGCGTGAATGAATGTTTATATTAAAATTTGATGTGTTTAAAAAAGATTAGTTAAACGAGGGGTTTTATATAATATTTTAGATAGATAATGATAAAAAAAGTTAAATTAAAAAAAGAAAATGTCATAAAAAAGTTTAACCATTGGAGAAACAATTTAATTAGAGGTTAATAAAAATAAAGTAGTGAATTGACAATATTTTTGACCTATGATATAAGTTTACCATCGGAGATGCTATGTCATTAAACAATCCTTTCAGTAGTACTTCCCAGCATGACGTGAACATCTTAGGATAACGAATTACATTTTGGCATCCTGTGTATCATCCGTTTTTTACTTGATGATCATTTTACTTAACGATTTTTTTGTATGTTTTATATTTTTTATAATTGTATATTTAATTTTGACATCATTTGGTTTTTTGGACCGATTTGGTTTTCCAAACATTGCAAAAAAAAATCTAAGGATTAAAATAAAAAAAAAAATTGTTTTTTCTATTTTACATATAATTTGTGAAAAAAATGAAACATTCCACCCTCCTAACACAACCCCTATGATCAATGTCATTGGTTTTTTTTTTTTTTTTGGCAAAAAAATGGCTCAACCTCTTATAAAAGGTCACAGTGGTGTTTTCTGACCGCTTCAGCAAACTAAATGATACAACGAGCAAAAAAAAAAAACTTCAATAATATTTTTTGACTATACAGACAAGATAGTTATCCTCCCGAGTGATTTTCACAAACAAATATGACTTGTAGAAACTATTCATTAGACTAAAATAAAATTTATTTATGTAATTGTATTTTGTAGAACGAAATAGTAGGGTCCAATAATTTTAAATTTTGTGTTTTTTTATTAAAACTATTTGTCTACTAATAAATGGTAATATTTATGGGAAATGTTCAAATCCTCAAATTCAAGTACCTGGGCCCCGTTTCTTATTCATCCATCTTTTCAATTTCGTGACTTATGAAGTTTCCAGGAAAATTCCACATCGTTTAGTAATCCATCATCTGAATTTCGTTATCCATCATTTCGATTTGGTGACTTATGAAGTTTCCAGGAAAATTCCACACAGTATGACTTTTAGTAAAAGTAGTTTTTTACTTGGACTTCATCTATAATAACCACTATTGTAAATCTATTCTCAAATTGCTCATACATTCCCAACAATTAGTATGGCCGTTCTCTCTGAAATTATCGAAGGATCATCTTCTTCATTTACTAATGATCGTAAATATGACGTGTTTTTAAGCTTCCGAGGTGTTGATACCCGTCATGGTTTCACAGATCAGCTCCATAAAGCCCTCCTCCATGCTAATATTTCTACCTTTCTTGATGATGATGAGATTGAAACTGGAGGAGATCTTAAACCCGAATTGGAGAGTGCGATTAAAGCATCCAGGGCTTCTATTATTGTGCTCTCCAAGAATTATGCTAATTCTTCATGGTGCCTTGATGAATTGGTACTCATCCTTAAGCAACGGAATACATCCAACCAAATTGTTATCCCGATCTTCTATCATGTTGAGCCCACCCATGTCAGGAAGCAACAAAGCACCTTTGCAGTTGCAATGGCTCTGCATCAAGAGAAGATTGGAGCTGAGCCAGATGCAAATAAAAAATGTCAATTGGTTGAAAAGATGGACAAATGGAACAAAGCACTTAAAGAAATTGCTGATTTAAAAGGGAAGGACGTAAAGGACAGGTAACCGGCCACTTTCTTACCCATACTTTCAATTCTGTTTGGTTAACCATGAAATTTCAATGGCATATTCTTGAATGTTATGTTTTATTTAATTTTAGAAAAAAAGACATTGCTTTATATATCTCAATTGGACGAAGTGTATGAAGCTGAATCTGATTTTCAATTACATGATCTGATAATTAAATTAATTCATCTAGACATTTAAGTTGGATAAACATTAGTCTGATTCATTTAACCAGTTTCATAATACTATTTAACATGCCTTTGGTTAGAATCAAAATTGAATAATTTGCTAAACATCTATTGTTAGTATGTCCTGGTTTTTGGTCACTCCATTTGATATTGATACCATTAATTAAAAAACTGATAAATCTTCATAAATGGTCTACGTGCTTGAATTTCAAGCTTAGTTCCTAATTCTTTTTACCTTTTTCTTTTTGGCTAATTGAAATTAAAATTAATAATTATATTATTATTAAAACCAGAATTCAGAAAAAGCCTAGACCAGACCCACCCTTTTTCCTCTTTCTTCTTCCACCACCACCACCAGAACAGGCTTCAACCATTACCACCACCGTCCACCACCATGGCACCATCATCCCCACCGTCCACCACCACCATTGTCTATCACAGTAAAACACCATCACCATCCACCTTTTCCCTCTCCCTTCTCCTAGTCCACGTTCTTGCTACTGCCTTCAACATCAAATGAACAAAACCACCATCAAGGGAACAAAACCCATAAATTTAGAGCTTAAAAACTAACCAGATATTTAGAGCATCAAATGAACAAACCCACAATCACGTTGATAACTTTGAAGCTGATACACACTGGCTGCCATAACCTCCAATTTCATTGTTGATAGCCATAACCTCCCCCTCACCTCTGATCATCGAATCATCTAATTGATCATCATTAGCTCTACAAAATCTGCTTCAGGCTAAAAAAGTTTCCAAAAAAATAATAATCAATGAACATAGTTTTATAGGTTTTTTCCCTTATGTCTCGACAATAAAAAAAAAATCCAGATTCACATAGAGGCGACATGAACTTCAATTGGGGCGAAGAACGGATGAGGGAGAAGCATTGCAATTGGAGCGAAGAAGGTAGTTGCCACCATCCACCACTATCTTTTTAACTACCATCGCCGGTGATGACTTGTAAGAAATCGATCGCTGGCGATGGTGGGAAAGAAGCCATGCCCACAATGGTTTTTGGTCGTGATTTAGGGTTTAGACCTTAAGGAGACGAAGCGGCGACATTTGAAACCAGTGGATGAAGATGATGGGGTAAACGTTGTTTTGTCTCCCGGTGAGTGAGGGTGCCGATGAACACCCTTGGCTGGAGACGATGGTTGCATCGGAGACAACGGACACGTCATCGGTGATGTTAGAAGAAGAGATGGAAGCGACCAAAATTTTGAAGAGGAACCGATTCGTGAAAGGAGTGTGGTTGTTATTTATTTTAGACAAAACTTCAAAAATGGTCCCTGTGGTTTTCAAAAATATCAAGTTTAACCCCTAAGTTCAAAAAACCTCACGGATCGTCCCTGTGGTTTCAAAACTTTTAACAAATGGTCCTTTTCGTTAACTCCGTTAGCTTTTGGCCGTTAAGTGAAGGGCATTTCAGTCATTTCACTACTACACGGACCATTTATGAAGTTTTGCCTCATTTAAAAAAAAGAAAAATATATATAATTATTTAATATGAAGGGGGCCCACCCACTTCTCTCTCTCTCTCTCTCTCTCTCTCTCTCTCTCTCTCTCTCTCTCTCTCTCTCTCTCTCTCTCTCTCGCTCTCTCTCTCTCTCTCTCTCTCTCTCTCGTTTTCTTTTCTGTCTCACGAACATCACAACGAAACCAAATATCCACCCACTGCTATTTCCCTCTCGTTCGTATCTCACCGGCTGACCAAATTCAGGATTATATTGAATGATCAATGATAATCAAAAAGCATAAGGCTATCGCACCAGAGAAAAAAAAAACCAATTTTCGTGGTAAACAAGAAACAAATAACAGTGGTAGGGATGTGTGTAACTATGTGTCTGCTGGTGTGTGTTTCATGTTTTCTTTCTTGAAGCAATTACCAACTAGTCCTCCTTATCTCTTGTGATACAACATCGATGGTAGATCCAACTCCAAACAGAGAAGAAGACCAGATCCACCCTCCGCCTACAAGCTCGATGGAACCTAGATTAAAGCAATAAAAACCCAGGTGATACCCAAACGATACGCACCTGTTGTAAGGCGCGTCAACCTCCCTGATCCTAAATCAAGCCACCAAATTGAGAAAAAATAAAGAAACCCATTCATAGATTGAAGCAACGGATGTTGATTGGAACACATAAAACAAACACTAAGTAAATATGAAGAGAAACATTGAAATCATGAACACCCATTTCAATATAATCACTTAAAATAAAATAAAATGGTTATAAAAAGTCATTGTAAAGATTGGATGTCGGATATAAGAACAGAGCAAAGAAATAGAATTCTGGTATTGCAGAGAAGATGAACACCTAAGTACATATTGGTTCCGATGAGCTCCAAATGTGTTTTCCGACATATGAACAACTAGTTCGGATCAAGATGGAAAAAATTAGATGCAGTCATTTGTAGTCCTCAGAAATCAAATGCAGACCTTCGGTTCCTTCTTCATCATCGATTTAGATGTGGAGTTTTGATTTTCTTCACAAACCACAAACATTTGGAGTAACGATGGTTGATATTCCATCTGTGATTCTTGCTTAAGTCAAAGAGCTTTAGGAGGAACAATTGTTCATCGAGTTTTTTATTTCATTGCAGATTTTTATGGGTTTATTCAATTTTGTTGATTTCACATGTGTTTGTTGACATAATTTTTGGGGAAGAAGCCACTAAAGATGGTGAAGGAATGAAAGAAGAAATGGGCTTTTACGGGGGAGAGAGAGAGAGAGAGAGAGAGAGAGATGGGTGGGTGGGTGGGTCCCCATTATATTAAATAATTATATATATTTTTCTTTTTTTTAAATAAGGCAAAACTTCATAAATGGTCCCTGTAGTAGTGAAATGACTGAAAATGCTCTTCACTTAACGGCCAAAAGCTAACGGAGTTAACGAAAAGGACCATTTGTTAAAAGTTTTGAAACCACAGGGACGATCCGTGAGGTTTTTTGAACTTAGGGATTAAACTTGATATTTTCGAAAACCATAGGGACCATTTTTGAAGTTTTGCCTTTATTTTATGTTTCTTTTTTCTTTTTCAAAATAGATTTAATTAAAGAAAATCAAAATTAAATAAAAAATAATAAATAAATCTTTTTTAATGCTTTTTTATTGGGTCATTCCAACCACAGTATAAGTTAATATCCATATTTTTTTTTAGGGAAAATGACTCTTGAGGGTAATTAACTTTTGCGTTTGTACTTATTTGGTCCCTTTCCTTTTTTTTTGTATTCAATATACCATCGAACTTGTTGTTTGTGTTCACCATAACCCTTTTGACCGGCTTTTGACCTGCGATAGACGGTCAAAGGGTTATGGTGAACACAAACAACAAGTTCGATGGTATATTGAGTACAAAAAAAGGAAAGGGACCAAATAAGAACAAACTCAATAGTTGGTTACCCTCCTGAGTCACACGTCATCTCATACTGATATTAATGACTTTATGAGATTCATTCTTGCTTCTCTTCAAAACATAACCCACGAAAGAACACTATTCATACATGTACAACTTTGTAATGCACTTGAGTATTTATTAGGGGGATCTTGACTAAGCAGGCGCATTTCATGACTGCATTTACATTTCCAATCGAATGATTTATCGTATCATGGATTCTAGACAAGTCTACAAACGAGTGGAATCACAAGTGCTTTGATTTTTTAGTTTACTTAGCTTTAAGATCGAATTCATGGAATGAGATACAACATCAATATGTACAATATCATGCTGCTTTTGTAGACACATCACCATAATATACCTTGAGGTAAACGTTTATGCTGATAAATATACCTCTCATACACAATCATATCCTTTTGAAGAGAGGTGTTGACAGCTAACCACAGTAAGCATAGCATAGACCATGTTTTAACGAAGTTACCCCTCTGAAACGCTCTTCATATACGTTATAGCCAATAAAGGTTGCAGTCTTTGATAATTTTGCAACTTTAATTTCATTTAACTTTTCGGGGAAAATGACTCAGGGGGGTAACCAACTGTTGAGTTTGTTCTCATTTGGTCCCTTTCCTTTTATTTTGTACTCAATATACCATCGAACTTGTTGTTTATGTTCACCATAACCCTTTGACCGGCTATCACCGGTCAAAAGCCGGTCAAAAGGGTTATGGTGAACACAAACAACAAGTTCAATGGTATATTTGAATACAAAAAAAAGGAAAGAGACCAAATGAGTACAAACGCAAAAGTTAATTACCCTCAAGAGTCATTTTCCCTTTTTTTAAACTTATTTTGAAACTCATATATTACATTGGTTTATTTAAAAAAAATTAAATATGAATGACTAAATATTTGAGAAAATTTTGAATTTATAAGAAAAATGAGAAAAATATTGAATTATTAAAATTCAAGTGTTTTTTTTTTTTTCTCTTTTAGATTTCAACATATAAGTTAAATAAATAAACAAAGAAAACTAATGAGACTTTAATTTAAAAATTTAGAAATTAAAAGGTAAATATGTTAATGAAATTGATATATATTTATTATTATATTTATTGTAGTTATTACATATAAATGTTATGTAGAATTTAATAAGATAGAAAATTTATAAAATGTAATTTACAATAAGTATAAAATGACATGTGACAAAATAAATGAAAGTGTAAAATGTGGCAAAAGATCTATTTATTAGAGTAGATATAGGTAGATTGTCAAAAGAGTAACCTCTCAATTTTTTTGCTTTTTACAAATTTGTATTACATCTTTTTCGTTATAAAAAGATTTATAAGATATATTATCATAAAGTATTTAAATTGTTAAATAAATTCAAAACATAATGATTATCACAAATTTATTATCTCAAAATATTTAATTTTATAAAAAGTAATAAATTTGAAGCAACTTTTGAACATAAAGATTAAATTTATATTTATGATCAACTAATACAAATGTAACTAATAATTATTACATCTAAAATATAACAAGTCAGTTAAGAGGGTGTTTGAGTATTTGAAAAGGGTTTTGAAGAAGATACAATTTATGACTTTTTAGAATGACTTATGACTTATTAAAATAAAAAACAAGCAAAAGTCAAAGCAAAAGTCAATAAGTTAACCAAACACTTTTTAACTTATTGATTTATTGACTTATTGACTTTTGTCACTAAAAATCTAATAAAAACACTTTTTTAAAATCTCATTTTCCCAAATTAATAAGTCAATAAGTCCTTTTAGAAAAAAGTCATTTTTAACTTCAAAATGAAATCCCAAATACCCTCTAAAAAACCATAAATATATAAACCAAAAATTTGAGGGCCCAAAATTGTCACATGAAAGTTTGATACCACTCTAATGTAAAGGAATAATATAGCTCCAAATTTGATGTTATAGTATTGGTTTACAACAAAATGATGTTGCGTTGGAGAGAAGTGGTGCAGAATATTGAATTTTTTGTTGGGTTGGAGATGCCCTATGTATACCCAAAAGCAAGTATTTTTTGTATGTTTGTGAAACGTCAATAACTGAAACTCACAATACCTGTATGCGGAAAAAAATTCTAAAAAAGAAAGCCTTGATGAACTAAAAAATTTCATTTACAATATGAAGCATTTTTTTGGAAATTTTGGGCATAATTCGATAGAAAGGAGGCACATAATACAATTGAAACAGAGCAGCAACTTTCTATTGTACTATCCTCATAATCCTATATTTGAGGACTGCGGAGAGACAAATGGGACTCTGCACCAGTTTAGTATCCCTTACTAAATATCTTCTATTAGAATATTATACCTATATAATTCACTTCCATTTTAATGGTAATCTTGCAACCCTTTTCATGTAAGCTCCAAGACTCCCGAATCCAAACTTCAGTTCACTAAAATGCATAAATGATGTCAGCATTCTCTTTCAATAAAAAAATTATGTCAGCATCAGCCTCAGGGAATAAAATTTTGAAATCCAGAAGAACTTCTAACCATATTGAGCTTCACTTTAAAATGCGGATCTCCTCAGCTTGTATAGATCTTCGTTTGGTACCAACTATACCAAACAGTAGCTCAGAATAGCAATGTTTTATGTATGTGTAGTAGAGTGCAAGCCAAAGACACTGCAGATGCAGAACACCCCACTTCTTTGTATGACTTCCAAGTCTTTCATTTTGATCCATAGGGTCACCAAAATCTGCTAAGCATTGTCAACCATATATAATTTTACATTGAAGGAAATTACACACACCACAAAGACAAACACCTCGAAAAAGAATGCCCCTGATTTAAATACACAAAACGAAAACATAACCGCAAAAATGTCCTCAGCAGCCTCAGGGAATAAGTCAACCATTCTATTGTAATATCATACTAACTGTAAATCATACCATTGATCATAGTATAACCTGGCATGGTGTTTGGATTCATGCAAAACCACATCAAGATTTTAGTTTAATGGAACTCTAGAAACATAATGAAATTTGCTGGCCCACTAGAGATATCATGTATTAAATTGATGGATCTGGTCTTATTTTACACTAAAATTATGACCTTATATATTAGATGCATATATGGTTAGAAGTGCAGATATGTCATAACTTTGATGTGAAAAACATAACCAAACAGATTAGCTTAATATGATATAAATTTGCTTTAGATCTTTCGATAGAGTAAATCTCCAAATATGGTATTTTAGTTTTATTGTTTGTGGTTCTTATTAAACTCAAATTTCAGGCCAGAGATGGAGTTTATTGAAAAAATTGTCAAGGATGTCTACCGTAGATTACGTATATACTCAAGGATTCCTCTGCCACAACTTTTTGGGAGGGATGATTCCATTAATTCTGCTACCTCATGGTTGAAAGATGCATCCTCATACACAGCAGACGTTCTTACTATTTTGGGTATGGGTGGGATCGGGAAGACGTCTTTAGCCAAATTTGTCTATGTCTTACATTCCCATGAATTCGACAGAAGCAGCTTCATTGGAGATATCAGTAGGAGTTGTGAAAAATTCGATGGGTTGCTTGATTTACAAAAGAAACTATGTGATGACATTATAAAACAAAGTTCTTTTCAAGTTCGTGATGTTTCTCTATACACCTCAATGATAGAGAATGCATTGGCTAGTAAAAAGGTGTTTCTCGTTCTTGATGATATTGATAACCTCGACCAGTTGAATGCATTAATTGGAAGTAAAGGTTTTCATGCAGGAAGCAAAATTCTCATAACAACAAAGAACGAATGGTTGACAAAGAGTTGCGCACTTTTCAAAACAAAGGTTAAACCCAAGCATGCAAACCATTTGCTTAAAGGCTTGTATGAGACTGAATCACGACAACTCTTGTGCTTTCACGCATTCATGTCTAATGATCCCCAGGCTGGCTATGAAGAGGTGATAGAGAAGCTTGTGAATTATTGTGAAGGGTATCCGTTGGCTCTTAAACTTTTGGGCGAGTCTCTGCATAACCGTGATGTGGCTTATTGGGAGGGGCTCATAGAAACGCTAAAGAAAGAAAACGGTTCCCCTGTAAATAATGTCTTAAGAATAAGCTTCGACTCTTTGCCATCCGAAAATGATAAGGACTTGTTTAAGCATATTGCTTGTTTTTTTGTTGGAACAGATAGAGATTTTACGGAATCAATATTAAAGGCATGTAATATAAACACAAGTGTTGCATTCACGAATCTCATTGATAGATGTCTTCTTAGTATCGGAGGGAATAACTGTTGGAATCTCCTCACATGCCTTCCTCATCTATACTTGCTTTATTAGTTGGCATAAAGCAAATACACCTACAATCTAGTTGTGCTCCATGTGCATTCATGTGCATGAAGTTTTATAAGATTAGAAATAGCTTTTCTATCCTATATATAATGCATGTATCGAGCTATGATATAAACACCACCAAAAATTATAATACAATCTCTTTTTCTTGAATTGGTATCAGAGCGTGTACGACAAGGGAGGTGTAGTTCATTTTGCAGCCTCAGTTTCTTGATCGGGGTTTGTTCAAACGAGAGACTAACCGGTGGTGCGTGATAAACGGACGGGAAGATATCAAAGCAGGTGGCTTTGATTCGGTTCGTTTTGCGGGTGTGACGGAAGACGGTGAAGGTGGGTGTGACCTTGTCTTGTCAACCGGTGGAAGAGTGCTCTCCGAACAAGCTTGATCAAAGAGGTTGGGGCTGTCAAAAGGGAGACTAGAAAGACGATGGCACTAGCTAAAGAAGGAGGTTCGATGACGTATCAAATCCCCGTTTTAACCCAAATAAATTATCCGGTGTGGGCGTGTTGAGTATGAATCCACAGAAATGTTGAGTGTGAATCCACAGAAATGTTGAGTGTGAATCCACAGAAAAGCTGGTCAAAAATGGCAGGAACAATGTGAAGTTGTGAAGCCACAATTGTTGAATGAAGACCCAGTTGTGTTTTTTGACTACTTCTGATTTCCATCTCTATATAAGAGATTATTCTGTATTTGTAAAACTTGTATCTAGTGTAACACAGAAAGAGTGCAGATTAGCACCAAGAAATGTAAATTCCTAGTTACCGGTGGACGTAGGTCAGAGAAGGACCGAACCACGTTAAATCCCTCATGTTCATCCTTGTGTTCTTGTTTTTCGTGAGTTGTGTGTGTGTTTAGAGTCGTGTGTTAAGTGTCTCGATCCTAACAAGTGGTATCAGAGCGTTGGTTTAGCTCCAGAGGGTGATTTTCTGTTTTTTGGTCGAAATTTTTTTTTCATCAAAAACGATTTTGGTGTATACCGTTGGAAAGGTCTCGTTCCGAAGATTTCGAAAATATTTTTTTCTGAATTTTTTGACCACCGGAAGATGTCCAAATCGCCGGTCAAAGGTTACCGGAATAGTTACCGGAAAAAACCAGTTTCGCCGGAGAAGACGACACTGTAGCACCGAAGTTCCACCGGAGAAGACGACACTGTAGCACCAGAGTTCTGCCGGAGAAGACGACACTGTAGCAGGCACTGTAGCACGACGTCAGCGGTGACGTCAACAGAACTGTAGCAAGCACTGTAGCACGACGTCAGCGGTGACGTCAGCAAGCACTGTAGCAACACTGTAGCAGATTTGAAAATTTGCAGTTTAGCCCCTGAACTTTCAGAAAATTGCAGTTTAGCCCCTAATCTTTCAGAAAATGGCAGAAAGCAATAAGCTTCAGATTGAGAAGTTTGATGGGAAAGATTTTGGTTGGTGGAAGATGCAAATTGAAGATTTGCTCGTGCAGAAAGACTTGGACGCAGTTTTAGGTGAAAAACCAGAGGCGATGACACAGGCAAACTGGGAGACTTTGGATAAGAAGGCCAAGGCATTTATTAGACTGACGTTGTCAAAGGATGTTGCCTTCAACATTTTGAAGGAGACCTCGGCAAAGGGAATCATGGAGGCATTGTCTAATATGTACGAGAAGCCGTCGGCAGCAAATAAAGTCTTCCTGATTCGGGAACTAGTCAACACGAGGATGAGGGAAGGAAGTTCAGTTACAGTACACATCAACAATTTGAACTCGATTTTATCCAGACTTGGGTCAGTGGGAATAAAATTTGAGGACGAAGTTCAAGCTTTACTACTGTTATCATCATTACCTGACAGTTGGTCCGGAACAGTTACAGCCGTTACTAGTTCCGCAGGATCGAAAGAGCTCACTTTTGAGGGAATTCGGGATTTAATTCTAGGCGAAAACGTCAGACGAAGAAATTCCGGGGAATCATCAAGTGAACAATTGAATGCGGTCAGAGGTAGAAGAAATAACAGAGGTAGTGGGAGCGGGAACAGGAGAAGGAGTCAGTCGAGGACTCGAAATGATGTGACTTGTTGGAACTGTAAAGAGGTTGGACATTTCAGGAATCAATGTCCAAAAGACAAGAAAGAAGTTAACGTTGCAGTAGACCATTCAGATGATGATGTTTTGATCTGTAGTGTGGAGAGCAATGTGGATTCCTGGGTTATGGATTCGGGTGCTTCATTTCACGCTACCCACAGCCGTGAAGCACTGCAGAATCTGAAAGAAGGAGATTTTGGTAAGGTAAGACTGGCGAACTATGAGGTTCTTGATGTGACGAGCATAGGTGACTTGGATTTGAAGACTCCAGTTGGTCCATGGACTTTGAAGGATGTCCGGGTAATTCCAAGTCTGAAGAAACAATTGATTTCTGTTGGGCAGTTGGATGAACAGGGACACGAGGTTAAGTTCAGGAATGGGCAGTGGAAGGTTGTCAAAGGAAATCTTGTGATAGCTCGTGGACATAAGAGAGGTTCATTATATATGGTCAGTTTACCATCTGAGGGAGTAACCGTCCCAGTTCAGAAAAAAAACAAAATCCGGTTCATAGAGTCTCGTGGACAGAAGAAGGTTTGCTTTGCAGATGGCAAACCCAGAGTCACAGGTCAGATTCAGGTTGAACGTGTTTGGAACGGTTCAGAAAAACCAGTCAAGGGCATTCATAGCAGTGGGAGCATGGGCTTTGTTTCAGCTAGAATACCCAGAACACAGTGGGTTAAGAGAACCAGTATTCCATCTGTAAAAGTCTCTCCAGATTATCTGTTTCACATGGAGAGTGTCGTTTGTTCTCAGGATGTTCCAGGATCGGGCAGTTCATTTCAGTGGGAGCCGATGGAGACAGAGAACAGGTCAGTGGCAGACTTAGCCATGACTGATGTGTTGGAGCTAACGAAAGCTTCAACTGGCCTTCAGGTTAATTGAAGAAAAGGACAGGGTAACTAGGAAGGAGTTAAGATCAAATACAGATGCACAGTTGAAGCACAGGTGAAGATTGTTCCGTGGCTTCAAGTGGGAAATTGTTGAGTATGAATCCACAGAAATGTTGAGTGTGAATCCACAGAAAAGCTGGTCAAAAATGGCAGGAACAATGTGAAGTTGTGAAGCCACAATTGTTGAATGAAGACCCAGTTGTGTTTTTTGACTACTTCTGATTTCCATCTCTATATAAGAGATTATTCTGTATTTGTAAAACTTGTATCTAGTGTAACACAGAAAGAGTGCAGATTAGCACCAAGAAATGTAAATTCCTAGTTACCGGTGGACGTAGGTCAGAGAAGGACCGAACCACGTTAAATCCCTCATGTTCATCCTTGTGTTCTTGTTTTTTGTGAGCTGTGTGTGTGTTTAGAGTCGTGTGTTAAGTGTCTCGATCCTAACAGGGCGGTCAAAGTAAAATCCATTATGGATGCTCACGGCATATGGGAGACGGTCAATGTAAGGGAGTTAGGCGAAGAAGCGGATTCAAAGAAGAAGAAACAAGCACTTGCTTTTTAGTTTCAAGCTATACCGGAAGAGATGGTGTTGCAAATGGCGAGTTACACAGATCCAAAACAGGTGTGGGATGGTTTGAAGACACGGTATTTGGGTGTGGATCGGGTGAGGACGGCTCGAGTTGCAACCTTGAAGAGGGAGCTTGAAGGTTTGCGCATGAAGGAGGATGAAACGGTTGATAATTTTGTGACAAAATTATCGGGGTTGGCCTCAAAAGCAAGGAGTCTTGGATATGAGATTGAACAAGGTGATTTGGTAAAAAGGTTGTTAGACTCGATGCCTAAGTCGTTTCTTCAAATCGTGGCGTCAATTGAACAATGTTTCGAGTTGGATTCAATGTTATTTGATGAAGCCGTTGGTAGATTGAAGGCATACGAGGAGCGTATAAAAGGAACGGAAAAAACGGAGGACGTTCAAGGTAGTTTATTGTTGGCTAGTGGAGAAAATTCGAACGTTTGTAAGCATTGTGGCAATGGAGGTTCAAATCGGGATGGCTTTGGACGTGGCCGGGGAAGAGGCCGTGGGTCCGGGAAAAGTCGGGATGGGGAACGTTTCCAACGGGATAAAAGTCACGTTAAATGTTTCAAGTGTGGCGAATTTGGTCACTATAGCAATGAGTGTCCTAAGTGGGAAAAGCAAGAGGCAAATCTAATTGAAGATGAATCAGCAGTATTTTGATGAAAGACTTTGGATGTGACCGAGGTAGAGGTCGGGTGTCCGGAAAAAGTCGAGAATCAAAGTCCGTTCAAATGCTGGTTAGTCAGGTTGATGAATAATAGAGATTCGGGGGTGATTGTTGGAATCTCCTCACATGCCTTCCTCATCTATACTTGCTTTATTAGTTGGCATAAAGCAAATACACCTACAATCTAGTTGTGCTCCATGTGCATTCATGTGCATGAAGTTTTATAAGATTAGAAATAGCTTTTCTATCCTATATATAATGCATGTATCGAGCTATGATATAAACACCACCAAAAATTATAATACAATCTCTTTTTCTTGAATAACGACTTAATGATGCATCAGTTGCTCCAAGAGATGGGAAAAACCATAGTACGTGAAGAATCACCAAACAAGCCATGGAAGCGAAGTCGATTATGGTGTCATGAAGAGTCATTCGAAGTGTTGAAACGAAAAAAAGTAAGAGGCCATGTATACTTGTTCAAAGGTTTTTTTTATATGTATAAATGGTGATGACATTTTTTAATTCTTTTGCATTGCCTTTCTTCTTAGGGTACAGAAAATGTTCTAGGCTTGACACTTGACATGAGAATGCTTGAGAAAGATAAGTTATGTGGATCAATTGAGTTGAAAACAGATGCACTGAGTAACATGGGTAATTTGATGCTACTACAACTCAATTATGTGAAAATAAAAGGGACTTACAAGAAGTTTCCAGAAAAACTTAGATGGTTGTGTAAGCATCGGTTTCCTTTGGAGTCTATACCTTCAAACTTAGTGATGGATAATCTTGTTTCTCTGGACATGTCATATAGCAAGATTAAATCATTTGATGTTTGTTATCGGCTTCCACAACGACCTCATAATAGGTTGAAGGTAACTTATCTCCCTTTATTATTATCCCATGTTGAGTTGATGAATTTCATTATTGTTCTAACGTGTCTTCGTTTCAGAAGTTGTTTAATTCATTGTCAAAAGACAAAAGCTTGCTTGGATCACTGAAGTTTCTTAATCTAAGTTTTTGTGATCGGCTCACGAAGCTGGGTGGCTTTGACAGACTTCCTTCACTTAAGAGTTTAAAAGTTCGAAGTTGCAGTGGTTTGCTTGAGGTTTCTGAATCAATTGAGCAATGTGTTGAACTTGTCCTTGTTGATCTGAGCTACTGCAACAAGCTTAAAAAACTTCCAAGAATCATAGGCATGTTAAAGAAGATTAAAACACTATTGCTAGATGGTTGGTGAATCTCGAATGCTCAAAGCTAACAAAAAACCCTCTTCCTCAATTGGTCTGGGAGCTCTACCAAATAATTTGAAGTTCTTTGAGATTTCTTTACCGAGCTCTTTAGTAAGTGTGTCACTTGCACATAATAATTTGTCCACCAAATCCTTTCCCATGGACTTCAGTGAGCTATCAATGTTAAAGGATTTATGTTTACATGACAATCCTATAAAATCTCTACCCAGTTGTGTGAGAAGTCTTCCTAGGCTTGAGATACTTAATATGAGAAACTGTGAAATGCTGACGTCAGTCGAGCATCCTCCACATACGCTAAGGAAATTAGTCCTCTCTGGTGACTCTTCGCTACAAAAAATTTTATTTGATCCAGGAATGGGCCCGCTCAGTAACTTCTCAGTACCATGGGAAGCGTTTCTTTCACCATTCGAAATTCAAGGCTTGATCAAAATCCAACCAATGAAAGATGTAGAGGAGAATGTGTTACACAGATTGGGCTGGAATAAGTTGTTCACCCCAAAGAAAAAGGGCATGGGAACAAAGGAATTTCATATTCAGGTTTTCTCTAGTTAAGTATATATCTTTGTGTGAAGATGTATATATAATTTATACTCATGAGTTAAGCTTGTCTTTTGCAGATGTATTATGAATTTGGAATATTCAGCACAATTTATGGAGGTGAAGAGATGCCAAATTGGATTACAGATAGAAGCAAGGGGTCAACAATATCATTTACCATCCCAACATCTCCTAACAACCTCAGAGGATTGAATTTCTGCTGTGTGTTGATGTGTAAACATCCGAATTCTGGGTACCACTATATTCCGGTGATTGTTACTACTAATATAACGAAGAACCTTACCTGGATGTACCGTCATTGGAATAATAAAGTCATTGAATGTGGAGAGTGTGTTATATTTTTAAGCCATTGGATGTTTGGGATGAATGAGATGGAAGCTGGTGACCAGGTTTCTATTACTATTGTAGAGCGGCCAAACTATCATGTTACAAACGAGTGTGGGGTGAGTCTTGTGTATGATGATGAAAAGACATATTAAAACCATGTATTGGGTTATTACAGGTCATGGAATCACATTATTGGTGGAGATCTCACTGGATTTCAAACAACAACAGGAGAATACACTCTAGACAAAAGATGTATTTTGTTGCCTTACAAAGTATCTTTTACTAAAGACTTTGGTTCTCACGTCCGCTATACAGGTACATATATATATATATATATATATATATATATATATATATATATATATATATATATATATATATATCAGTGTAACAGTGTTTGTGGTGTCTGACATATAACTTCTTAACTAGCGTTTGTGTGCCAAGGATTCATTGGTTTTATTGACCTCTATAACAAGAGTTTATTTTATAAAGTAAAAAATTATTTTGAACTTTTTAAATGTATCCAACCAGATGGACAGTGGATTGACCCTAGTACTAGCTAATCCGTCAAAATCAGTCGATTGATTTGTTGGTTCAGTTGATAAAGTTTTCTGATATGTTGCATAATGCATCATATATATATATATATATATATATATATATATATATATATATATATATATATATATATATATATATATATATATATATATATATATATATATATATATTGTCAAATCTAGATGAAGACACAACTCGTTGAGAGACCTAGCTACAACTACTTTCTCCAAGAGCATGTATGTGATAATTAACCAAGTATTTTTTTTCATAATGAAGATCTAGTACCCTTTAGAGCTTTATCAAAAAGGAATTCAGACATGCTTGATCACACCTGAGGTATCCTCTTTGACACCCAAACCTTTCTTTTTGTCACATGAAGAAAACGCACACACAACCAAATATGCTATCATTGAAATTTTTAATTGGTCTAGGATGTAAGAAAGCAAGAGTTATAATCTAGCAATGGATGCTTGGAGATCCCATCATCAAAACGTACGGGTATGCTCCCACCCTCACGGATATATGAGAAGGATCATGGAAAATGTGGAGGGAAATGTACCAAAAAGCTTCAAAGGGACGCTGGAACACAACACTAAAACCAGATGGTGTCTTGGTTTGTGGAGTCTCAATACCACTTTATACTGTTTATGCTCATAGCTTGGAAGTCTTATCAATACCTTGTGTCTTTCTATCCTGAATTATATTTGTACATACTTAATATATCCATATTTTGAGGGGCTCACATTCGATGCATCCAAACGTTTGATTAATATATCTGGAGCAGAAATTTATAAATATATACCTTCAAAGAATTCAAATTTATAAATGGTTGCATCACAATCAAATTTATGTCTGTAGCGGCCCCCAATGATGATGTACCTTGTTATTTTTGTTTTGAAGAATTGTTAATGATTAAAAAAATTGTTACATTAATTCTTCTGTATTCAAATTACAACATCCATCTTCCCTCCTGGATCAGTGAGAACACTCTTAGAAGTGAATTTTTTTGTGAAACGAGATCTCACAAAATTCCTATGGTTTTCCCATGTTGACCAATATATAACGATGATGGTTGGTCTCATTAGAGAATCACAACCATACCTAACTAGAGTAGACAATTAAACTGTTTTGATGGAAGAAAAATGTTGTTAGCGTGCCATTTATACAAACAGATTGTGCACATATCAATCTGTTTGTATATCAAACATCTCAATAGCCACTTGTGCAATTACACAAACAGATTGAGTACATATAAATATTCCACAGGACCCTTTGTATTGTGAGAGAAAAGAGAAACTGAGCACCATATGGTTTAACAAACAAATTTGCCATATAAGTTTACACTTAATTCAGAATGGAAGGGAAAAAGAAACAGAGCACCATATGGTTTAACAATGGCACTCAAGCAACTACTATGTATTTGTAATAAAAGACAGAGATGGAATTTGGAACCCTCAAAAGAATTATTAAAAGGTACGTAAAATATGTACCTTATGCCAATATGTCCGAGTCAGGTTCTTGAAGTTGGGAAGTTTGAACCTTAAGAAGAAGGAATTACAAAGTATTAACAGACAGATGGCTCCTCTATTGTGTTCCAGCCTCCAAAGCTACAGTAGCCTTCATTGTTGACAAAATGAAACCTACGGGACAAGTTTTTCTTCCCACCCTATGATGAACACAATTAATGAAGGCAACTACAATGGTGGCTGCCAAGAATATAAATAGAGACTTCATTCTTTAGTTGTATGCATCCCAAAGAGAAACATAAAGTATAACACTTAGAGTGAGAGTGTTAGTGAGAAGGTTGGTTTTTTGTAATAGTTGAGTGTGAGAGTTGCTCCTCCTATTGTAATTCTATTTTAGTGTTTAATAGAAGATTTTTCCAACCCCCAACAACTGATATCAGAGCCCCGTTTGGTGTCCAGGGAATCCTTTACGAATTTCTCTGTTTTTTCGTCAAAATTTTTTGTCTCAAAATCCATTTTTGAGTACACCGTTTGAAAGGGCTTGTTTCAAGGATTCCGAAAATATATTTTTCGTAATTTTTTGACCACCGGAAGGCCCTCAAATCGTCGGTCAAAGTTGGTCAAATCTCGCCAGAAAAGTCGCCGGAAAAACCAGGTGGCCGGAGAAGACTGCCGGAGAAGAAGAAGTGACGGCATCAGTGACGGCATCATTGACCAGAATTTCAGGAAGTTGCAGTTTAGCCCCTGAAGTTCCAGAAAGTTGCACACAGGTCCCTCTGTTTCTGAAAACTACAGTTCGGTCCCTGTTGTTCGGAAAATAACTGTTTTGGTTCCTGAAGTTCTGAAAAGTTTCAGAAAGGTCCCTGGTTCGTAGAAACATTTCAGATTGGCCCCTGTAAGTTCCAAAAATTACACTTTAGCCCCTATAGTTCTGAAAAGTACAAATTAGCATATAACTTTTCAAGAAAGTATATTTTGAGCCCGAAAACTTCTACCCCACCATTTTTCACGCTTACGAATCCAACCGAGAGCTCGGTTTTATCTAATTTTTCCTTGAAATATTTGTAAAATAAATTTGCAATTATTTTCGATTAAATCTATAAGTACGATTACGATGGTTCGACTTACGCCCACAAATTACAATATGTGGAAGCCAAGGATGGAAGATTTGCTTAATCTGAAAGATTTAGCAGAGCCTATAGAAAATCAAGGTGTCAAACCTGACACGAAGACAGACGAAGTTTGGACGAGAATAAACAAGAAAACGGTGACACAAATTCGACAGTGGATCGACCACAGTGTTTTTCATCATGTCTCTCAAGAGACAGACGCATACAAACTTTGGGAGAAGCTCGAGAATATGTATCAGGCAAAGACGGCACGCAACAAGATCTTGCTGATGAGGCGCCTTGTAAACCACAAGTTACGAAGTGGTATGTCCATAACCGAGCATACGAGTCAGTTCCAGGATCTCGTAAACCAGCTTGGTGGAACAAGCCATATTGCTCTTGAGTTCTCTACTAGATAATTGGGAAACGCTTGTTGTTACTCTCAGCAACTCTGCCCCCGGTGGCAAAGTGTCAATGGAGATGGTCACAGACACCCTAATGAACGAGGAAGCCAGAAGGAAAGAAGCTGGTACAGACCAGTCTTTTGCCCTCGTGTCAGAAAATAAAGAAAGAGGCGGAGGAAGAACTGGAGGTAGAGGTCGAGGTCGAGGTAAGGGCAGACATGGTCAAAATAGAGGAAGATCCTAAGATCGTGTGAAATCACGAGATCGAGGGAGATCGCGAGAGCGAGGTAAATCTTCAAATACATGGTTTGAAGGCTATTGCAATCACTGTAATTATTATGGCCACAAAAGAAGTGATTGTCAAAGGCTTTTACGAGAGCAGCCCGAGACAAGCCAAAATTCAAGTAGGGAGAATGGTGAAACCATGGTCACCATAACACAAGACGTTTCCCTTGTTACATACAAGGATGAAGCATACCTACATGTTGGAACTCATGATGATGAGTGGGTGATTGATAGCACTGCATCATATCACTCGACTCCAAACCGGGATTTATTCACTACTTATAAACCCGGAGACCATGGTACCATAAAGATGGGAAACACCAGTTTCTCAAGCATTGTTGGTATTGGTGATGTGCATTTAAAGACCAATGTTGGATGTACATTGGTGTTGAAAGATGTTCGACATGTCCCAGAGCTAAGAATGAATCTTATCTCAGTTGGAGCTCTTGACGTCCAAGGATATGATAATCAATTCAAAAATGGCACTTGGAAGTTGTTAAAAGGTGTTATGGTTGTTGCAAGGGGACAACTTGATGGTACTCTTTATAAAATCCATGCAAAGCTACTTCAGCCAAGTCTCAATGCTGTTGAAGAAGAGACATCACCAAACTTGTGGCATAGAAGACTAGGCCACATGAGCGAGAAGGGATTGACGACTCTTGCAAAGAAGGAGTCCATTTCAATGGCAAAAGATGTTGCCTTGGATCCTTGTGAATACTGCCTATTCGGGAAACAACACAGAGTTTCCTTTAGCTCCACAAGAAAGAACCGCTCTGATTTGCTGAGCCTTGTCCACTCCGACGTATGTGGACCCATTGAAGTAGAATCTCTTGGTGGAAGCCGGTATTTTGTGACATTCATTGACGATGCATCACGAAAAGTATGGGCATACTGTTTGAGAACAAAGGACCGAGTATTGGACCGCTTCAAAGCTTTTCATGCAATGGTAGAAAGACAAACATGCAAGAAGCTAAAATGTCTCCGATCAGATAATGGAGGCGAGTACTATTCCCATGAGTTCTCTAAATACTGCACGGAACATGGTATCAGACATGAAAAGACTGTCCCACGAACCCCACAACACAATGGTGTAGCAGAACGGATGAATCGCACTATTGTTGAGAAAGTTTGATGCATGCTCAGCATGACTAAACTCCCAAAGCCATTTTGGGGTGAAGCTGTATTGACAGCTTGCTATCTAATAAATAGGTCACCTTCCGTTCCACTGAATTTTGAAGTTCCCGAGAAGATATGGATGGGTAAAGACATATCATATTCTCACTTGAGAGTATTTGGGGTGCAAGGCGTTTGCATATGTATCAAGTGAATTATAGAAGAAGTTGGACCTCAAATCTACTCAATGCATCTTTATTGGATATGGAGATGAAGAGTTCGGGTACAGGCTATGGGACCCAGAACTAAAGAAGGTTATTCGAAGTAGAGATGTGGTTTTCTATGAAAAATGTAGCACCTGGGTCTTGGTACGTATTTCTTTCTAAGTATTTTGCATTTTTGGCCTTAGACTCGGCGAGTTGAAGGACCAACTCGCCGAGTAGAAGCGGGACGGGACGCGGGATTTAAGTGATGGACTCGACGAGTCGGGTCCCGGACTCGACGAGTAGACCCTGTCTAGACAAAAACCCTAATCCGAGGGTTTGCACCCTATTTAAACAATGTTATGACGGCCACAACGTCCCTTATGCTCCCAAAACACCTCTCATTGAAACCCTAGCCGTTATTGAAGAAATCTAAGCCTTGTTGGTGGATTTTGGTGCTTGTGGTCTTAAGAAGGAAGTAGAAAAGCTTGAGGAAGCAAGTAAAGACCAAGGGAACCCGAGTTTGTGCGCTTCTACAGTTCATTGAAGGTAAAAAGCTGTAACCTTGCTCTTTCATTTGTTAGATCCCTTTTTGGGGAGATTTAGGGCTTTTATAAGCTATTTTTGATGGCCAACCATGATTGAAAACATGGTTGGGGTTAGAGCTTCTGAATCACGTCATTAAGGGGGTCACAAGGCAGTTGGGGACTGCTTTTGCACCCATGAAAGGTCCCATGCATCATAAGAGCTTGTTTTATGACTTTTGAGCTCAAAGTCCCATGCAAGCACGTAAAGTTTGTAACTTTACATGCTAGATCGATTGTAGAAGCTTGGATATATCTTTTGATCAAAGGTTGTACATCAGAAATCGAGGATTTAGAGTGTGGATGTGACCGACTCGGCAAGTCCACTCCTGGGACTCGACGAGTCCAAGGTTTTGAGTCCCATATCTGTTGAAGGTCAAAAGAACTCAGTTGAGTGTTAGAAGGGTTGTAATTGTTGGGTTTTAGTATACTACAACATCCTATGGTGCACATACAACCCTAAATACCTTGGATCTATGTTTTCTCTATTATACATGCAAATGGTTTCCAAGGCATTAAACCTATAACTAGCATGCATTTGACATAAACCATATAATATACTAGTTAGGGAAACATACCTTTTATGTGGCTTGAAGTCTTGATGTATTTGGCCTTAAG